GATGTTAGGGTTTGTTCGTCCCAAATCGCCATGGACAAATTCCTTCTTGTTATTGTGTTTTTTTACATAAAACAAACTTTGATGTACGTCCCAGCCTCGGTCTCCAATTCAAGAAGTCCAAAATGGTCGTCGATAGGGTTTAACTTCAGGGTGTAAATTGTTCTATCGCGTGTGAGTAATGATCGTCTATGAAGTACCCGAATTGGTGTCTTCTGATGAATCACTAAATTGTCCATTTTCAAGGGTTTCATTTGTTCTGCCCAAATAAAAGCCAAATATTTCTTTCTTTTCGACCTCTCGCCATTTTTAATGATTTCTGTGTCTTTGTTCGAAACAAGTTGAAGGTGCATCACTTGCACTGCAGGCGATTGGTTGATTTCTTTTTGCATCTGGATGTACTCCTCTTCACTGAGTGCCACCTTTCGCGGGTTGTGGAGTTCCATCACAAATGGACGACCATTCCCAAGCATTCGTACGTCGACGTCTTCTCGTCCAGAAGCCATCAAGAAGTATTTGTCGCACTTGAAATACTTCTTCATCACCTCGCCAATTTCTCCCGATATGGAATGGTCGTGAATCAATGTCCCATTGATGATCCATTGCGATTGACTCAACTGTCTCGAGTATTTTCTATACCTTCCTGCAACGTAGATGTAATCTCTTTCAAAGAATATTCTGTAATTACCATTATCACCTTCCATAGGAGAGGGTGGTATTGGAAAGTGCTTTTCATATTCCTCTGGTGACATTCTCTCGAGCGCCTGTTGAGCAGTCGCAGCAGTTAGTACTTCGTCCTTTCTTCTTTTCCTGAGTTTTACCGACTCAAGAAGTTTGCTGTCTTCATCTCTCAACTGTTTGTGAGAAAACTCGACGCACAATTTGAGTGGCGCCTCTATTTCATACTTCCACTCAGGGAGTTGTGCAGTTAATATGAATTTGAGAGTGTCTTTGATTCTAAAAGGTTGGTAATTCTTCGACGGAAATTTGCGAGTGATGTACCTCACCAAAGCTTGTTCTCTAAGAAACACCGCTTGTGGAAAACTGGTAGAAATTGAATACTTCCCCTCATATTCATGTCCACACGTCTTCAATGCATTTTCCACTTCTTCTTTAATGCCAGCATGTTGTAAGTACATAGACATGTTGAAGCAAACAAAGCAACGAGTGTCGATTTTGGTTTGGGGGACTTGGCGTTTTGTGGTTTCAAAAAGTTGTTGGATGATTTTGTCTTCACTTTGCGAGTAAAAAACTTCTCCGATACGGAAAGAAAACCGTGCACAGCAAAATATGCACAACTTTCCTTCGCTGTACAAGTCGAGGAGCAAGTCAACAAGACTCATCTTTGATTATTGCAGTTTGTTCTTTGAACAAAAAATTTTCAATACAAATTTTAATAAAATAACATTCTGAAATAACAAATTTCTATTTTTTATTTTGGGGTTTCATTGAACCATTTTTATGGTTTATTTAATTATAATAAAAACAATTTGATGAAAAAAATAACGAGAAGAATTCAATAAGTCAACAATTGTGTTTGAAAAAATTCGAATTTCGGAAAAGAAAATAAGAAGGTCAAGCTTTGATACATGTTCGGATGGTTCTATTGGTGTTTGGATGATCTGTTCGATGACTGATAACCACTCTCTGAGAAGTGGGACGATTCCAATATTTTCTGAGGCGTCTTCAGATGTTGAGATGTGTATCTCACCGGTGAGCATTTCTTGAAACTGCTTTTGACCGATGTCTTGCTTTTTGGACAAATCTGAAAGACCTTTTTTTTCAAGCATTTCAAGTGTTTTTATCATCTCCTCGGAGTTTTCGTTGGTGAATGAAGCGACCTGGGGAACTGTTGTACCGTCTTCATCGTCTGGGACAACACACTTGGTATTCATGGTGTTGCCCTCACTCTTGTTTTCCTTCTGTTCGTCTTTCTTGCCATAAATATAAAGCGGTTGTCGAGACGTTGTTTGTCGTGGAGAGTCTGAACGGGACTTCCCCTTTCTTTCTTCTTCTTGTCTATCAAAAAGATTAAATTTCGGTTTGAACTCAACCGGTTTGCCAGACTTGTTCAAATTGGGCTCACTCTTGCCTCGTTCATGTAGCAGTAGAAGTTTTTCCATCTTTTGTTCAACACTTAAAAGGCCTTCTTTTGCAGTTTTGAAACCTTCAAATTCTTGATTCTTTTTTGCTGCGTTCATTAACGTATCACCAAAATGAAGAGACTCATCCTTGGTCAATTGTTCTAAAGTAATGATATTGGTGTCGCCAGTCTGATCATCGAAGTATGCTCTCTCGTTTGTCTTTTCCATTTAGATTACAAGTTTCAAACATTCTTTATTTTATTGAATCTATTCTATTTTTGGATTAGACTCTCAGAAAAAAACAATTAATGGTAAATCAAAAAATGACAACTCAATAACTCAAGTTCAAATATAATGTTTTTGAAGAAGGCGTTTTCAATTTTTTACACAACAAAATGTCCGTATAAAAACATGTTTATAGACAATAATAATGGACAAACAATTGTGTCATTTCAAATATATTTGTGGAATTGTTTTTTAGTGGAATATAAAGTGTCTAAAATATAATATTCTTTAATTTAAAATAACTGATTGAAACTATGATGACGTTTCGTTGAAAATGTTTCATTCAACAGCGTTTGTCGACAATTGCATGCAAGGAGATATTTTGTATAAATATTTTGTTATTAATCATTTTACCATTTTTCATTTAACAGCACACAAAAGATTATAATCGATTTTGTTAATACTACAACAATTATATAATTGTTAAAATAGATAATTATCAATTATTACAATTTATTGATAAATCAATAACAATCTAAATGTAGTATTCTTACGCATAAAGGTTCTTATCGACCTTAATTGGAGTGAACAGAGTCAGTTTAACAACGTTATCTGATCAAAATAAAATGGTTGTCTTATTGTACAAAAAATGTAAATTGGGTAAAAACACAAAAAAATGTAAAATAATTGGAACAATGGGATGGGTTTTTTAAAATGGTTTCCCGCAATTATACACTTTGTTTGATCCAAAAGGTACCTGATAACATTTCCAAGCAGATAACATTGTTAGACTGACAATATTGTAAAAAAATAAGCATTTATTATACTATATATTAATATTGTACAGTATAATGTAATAAAATAGAAAAAAAATATTAAGAAATATTTTATTTTGTGTAAATGTCACATCACAAAAGATGTGGTAATTATCAAATCTAATAAAGAAAGTACAAGAATTCAGATCGTTAAACGTTACCAATGTTGCTTTCAAATGTATGTAGATATAATTTATGTTCAATTATCACATTTTATATACTTTAATTGCTCTTATTTGTTGAATAGAAAAACAAAAAAAATAAAAATAACAATTAAAGAAATGTGTATCATTAAAATGTAATATGTAAAAATTTATTTATTTATTTGTTTGTTTATTTATCAAAAGTGTATCGTGAAAAGTGTTTCGATCGTTTTTAAAGATCATTTTATAGTTTGTTAATATGTTTTATATTGTTTAAAAACGAGTGAAAACACACGAATGACTCACCGTTTTTCATAATTCCACTCTTGTCAGAAATTGATAATGCGCAAAATTCCGGGCATTTTTTCCAAACTTAGACATTTCAATTATGTTAATAGTTAAACTTAAGCACATTTCCCCGAACTGTCCAAAATTAACTTCAGTACCAAGTTGTCAACTT